AAAAAAAAAAAAAAAAAAAAAAAGTCCTTCCTGTTGCCTCTTCTTGGCTCTGTAAGTCTGAATTTTAGATTCTAAAAATTAAAATTTTCATCATAACTATGCTCATCCAAGTCTATTCCACCATCAACAAAATAAGCAAAACATTTTACTTCTTTAAAGCCTAGTTGTCAGGTGAACGTTGCCTTTTCTGAATTTTTTTTTTAACCATCTCAGACTTAAGAGCACTACTGGTCTACCTCCCTGACTTTAAATATGACTTACGTGACCTGTGTTTCAGGACAGAATTGTGTTTCCTCTTCTTTGGAACCTTGGTTCTCATGACCTGGGGGCTTGTTACAAAAACAGAAACTCAGGCCCCATCCCAGATGGGCAGAATCAGAATCTGCATTTTAAAAAGATCCCCAGGTGAATCACATGCACAGTAAGGTCCAAGAAACACTGCTCTAAAAGACTGCAGATGCTTGCCTGTGCATTCATCTTCATAAAGAATTCCCTTTCTTTTACTCAGGGAAAACTTCCACTTTCAAAAGTAAATTTTCCCTTAAAAATATCAGTTTATAAAAGGAAACAGTTACAGTTCTCTTTTTATATATTACAACTTCCAGATGCATCAGATTTGGGGGTGAGGAAAGGTCATTTTGACTCATTGGTTTTCAAAGGGTTGTCCTCCTACCAAGAGCATTAGCATCGCCTGAGAACTTGATTCCGATTCTGTGTTTTGACACGCAATCTGTGTTCTTAAAAGCCGTCCAGATGATTACAGCGCACACTCAAATTTGAGACTGTTTCGCAAACTTTAATGTTCATAGAGTCACCCGGGAAGTTTGTCAAACAGTGGGTTCCCAGATCCCTGGCTAGATCTATTGGATCAGAATCTCTGAACATTGAAACCAGGAAATATGCATCTTAAATTAGACCCCATGTAATTCTGATGCAGGTAATGAGGGAACTGCATTGAATACCAAGATTTAGAGCAGTGGTTCTTAGACTTTGCTGCACATGAGAGTCATTTGGAAAACTGAGTCCTGAGGCCAAGGTCACATTCCACACCAATTAAGTCAGAAATTCTGGAGGTGGGACCCAGGCAACAGCACTATTTTATACAAATGATTTTAATGTGCACCCGAGTTTGAGAAACAGAGCTCTTAGAAAAGCATTAGGAAAGAATGATAGCAGGTGGCAGTGTAGCATGGTGAAAAGGGCAAGTTACTACATCTGTCTAAGTATCTTTTTTTTTTTTGGCTGTATAGTGGGGAACTACCTAAAGATTAAAAAATGAATGCAAAGACCCTTGTAGTTTCCATTCCTTTTTTAAAGTGCATCCATTATGATGACCTTCCTTTGGCTTATATGCAAGACAAGTTCTTTCCAGGCTTGAGGGGAAAAAAAAAAAAAAAAAAAAAAAGAATATCAGCACTTGTAAGTTGTCCTATAACAAATACTCTTCCTACTTATGGTATGTTTTCTTGAAGGTAAAAAAATGACTTGAGGCTGTTTGACTTGCTTAGCAGTTATGCTATGAAAGGTCATCCACACTTTTCTCTCTCGTTTCACCCACCTGCTTAGCTCATGTTGCCAAAGAACTAGGAAGAAAAACACGTACGGAGATTTCCACCTATGGGTGTTTTTGATGGCGTTTTTAGCAGTTACTCAGTTTCCACTGGTCTCTTTGAAAAATTAGATTTAGTTTTACCAGGGAAGATCTGCCATCTGATGGTTCAGTGTGGTAATAGCAGGCTGTGTAGTGGCTTCAGGGAGAAAAATGGTCTTCACGGAGTTCAATATAATGCAGAGACCAGAGTCACGGTACAGCTGCCTGCAGAGACAGATGCTTTAGTAAGCTTCTAATGTGCCTTACCTTGGCATTTTCTCTCTCTATAAAAAAAAAAAGGAAAACTCATTTTCTAACCAAATAACTGATTACTAATATCTCTTTAGAAAGGAAAACCTGGTATCTTTTCTGAGCAAGTAAATTTGTATGAAAGTTGTTCTTTACTGACGTATATCACAAAATGATCATTTGATGTGTAAAGTGGTCAAGACGGTCATGGGTCTAGGAAACTGGTATTTCTAATATTCTCGTCACCATGAAAATTCTTTTTAATTGAAATGCAGAGGAGATTCATTTGAAGTCCATCTAAGACATACTGCTTGTCTGCACTAAATCATATCTGTTCAGCTAATTTCATCTTTCAGAATAGCTTAAAAGACAGTGATTTTAATTCCATTGCAACAGTTTAAGAAAATGTCCATAAAGCTAATCCTGTGTAAATAAGTCTCCCACCCCTTGTTAATACCTGCATACTCAATCCGTCTCTTCTTTCCTCAGAATGGGCAGCAGCATCCAAGTCTACCCAAATGGATCACTGTTTATTGGATCAGTAACAGAAAAAGACGGTGGAGACTACTTGTGTGTGGCGAGAAACAAGATGGGGGACGACCTGACCCTGATGCACGTCAGCCTAAGACGGAAACCTGCCAAAATTGACCACAAGCAACATTTTAAAAAGCAAGTTTTTCACGGGAAAGACTTCCAAGTCGATTGCATGGCTTCCGGCTCACCAGTGCCCGAGATATCCTGGAGTCTGCCTGATGGGACGATGATAAATAACGCCATGCAGGCCGACGACAGTGGCCACAGCACCAGGAGGTTCACCCTCTTCGACAATGGAACCTTATACTTCAACAGAGTTGGGATGGCAGAGGAAGGAGATTACACTTGCCACGCCCAGAACACTCTAGGGAAGGATGAAATGAAAGTCCACCTAACAGTCATACCAGCCGCCCCACGGATCCGGCAGGGTTACAAGACCAACACGAGAGTCAAGGCTGGAGACACAGCCGTCCTTGACTGTGAGGTCACTGGGGAACCCAAGCCAAAAGTATTTTGGTTGCTGCCTTCCAATGACATGATTTCATTCTCTAAGGACAGGTACACATTTCATGCCAATGGGTCTTTGTCTGTCAACAGAGTGAAACTGCTCGATTCTGGAGAGTACGTATGTGTGGCACGAAATCCCAGTGGGGATGACACCAAAATGTACAAACTGGATGTTGTCTCCAAACCTCCATTAATCAATGGTCTGTATACAGTTAAAACCACCATTAAAGCCACGGCGGTGAGGCATTCCAAAAAACACTTTGACTGCAGAGCCGAAGGGACACCATCTCCTCAAATCATGTGGATCATGCCAGACAATATTTTCCTCACAGTTCCATACTATGGAAGCAGAATCACAGTCCATAAAAATGGAACCTTGGAAATTAGGAATGTGAGGCTTTCAGATGCAGCCAATTTTACCTGTGTGGCTCGGAATGAAGGAGGAGAGAGTGTGCTGGTGGTACAGTTAGAAGTACTGGAAATGCTGAGAAGACCGACATTCAGAAATCCACATAATGAAAAAATCGTTGCCCAGCTTGGAAAGTCCACAGCATTGAATTGCTCTGTTGATGGAAACCCACCACCTGAAATAATCTGGATTTTACCAAATGGCACGCAATTTCCCAATGGACAAAACAACTCTCAGTATCTAATAGCAAGTAACGGCTCTTTTATCATTTCTAAAATGACTCGGGACGACGCAGGAAAATATCGGTGTGCAGCAAGAAATAAAGTTGGCTATATTGAGAAATTAATTGTATTAGAAATTGGCCAAAAGCCAGTGATTGTCACTTACGCACGAGGAACAGTTTACAGTATCAGTGGAGACACTCTATCGTTGCGCTGTGTCTCTGATGGAAGCCCTAAGCCACGTATCAAATGGACCGTGCCAAGTGGTTATGTAATAGACAGGCCTCAGATCAGTGGAAAATACATACTGCATGAAAACGGCACCTTGGTCATCAAAGAGGCAACAGCTTATGACAGAGGAAGCTACGTTTGTAAGGCTCAAAACAGTATTGGCCACGCACTGATTACTGTTCCAGTAGTGGTTGTGGCCTACCCTCCCCGAATTACAAATCGCCTACCCAGGAAGGTCCTCACAAGGACGGGCGTGGCCGTTCAGCTCCGCTGTGTGGCCCTGGGAGTCCCCAAGCCAGAAATCACATGGGACATGCCTGACCACTCCCTGTTCTCAGGGGCACACGAAGGGAGGACACATGGAATTCAACGTTTTCACCCACAAGGTACCCTAGTCATTCAGAATCCTCAAACCTCAGATTCTGGGATATACAGATGCACAGCAAAGAATCCACTTGGAAGTGATTACGCAACAACTTACATCCAAGTAATCTGACAGAAAATAAAACTACCTGAACAAAGTCAACATCTGGACAGAATTTACTTTTTGGAAGAAGTTTAATCAAAGGCAGCCATAGGCATGTAAATGAATTTGAATACACTTACTTACTTACAATATTAAATTTATAATAGACATGCAAAAAAAAGGACTTGTAAATAAATACATTATGAACTGATACTGATTTTTTTTTATAATGGATCTTTTAACTTAAGGCACTTTTATTTTGCCAACAAATAACAATGAACATTAAGAGAAAACGATCGACCATAAAATAACAAGTGGATAATGTACCTGAATTCTTCATTAAAGAAAGAATGGAATTTTTTTTCTTTCATTACCATTTGCCTAGTGTCCACCTTCTATTAATCAATCAATGTGACAAGCATGGTGCTGAGGACAGACACAATGGAAAAGATGATTAAGTTTGCGGTCGATGTAAATTTGCCATCCTGATGTATAAACGCTGTGGTCAGTTTATAAATATTTTACTAAAACCCACAGAAAATAAGCACTGAACTGTTTTACGATTCACCATTTTGTGCACACTGAAAATTTTCACTGATGATGGGGAATACAAAAGAAAGTTTTAATAACTGCATTTAAAAATAAATGCAGGCTGAATTTCCACTTGTAAGAAAGCAACTTAAGACCTGCACATCATAAAACGTGAAAAGGGGGGTTGATTACATCTATCCCAAATAAAGCCATTAAAAAGTTTTTAAAATACACAAACTTCTTTATAACTTCAAAATCTAGCTCAGGCACCCCCTGGTTTGGAACTGTTTGTTTATAAGGAAAAAGTTTCTTAGGAGGGATCATTGCTCTGTAAGGTGATAATCCTTTGTGACAGGGAAATGTTTGGGAAAATCTAGACCGAATACATAAAATGGAGTTTCACTGTAGTTAAAATTTGATCAACCCTATACAAAATGTTGCTTTTTGTAATTCACTGAATTTATTTATGTTACATGCTGAATTCAACCTGAATTAATTTAAGGGACAATATGAGTCAGCTTTTCTAACTCTAGAGGCTAGGATTTTCCAGTGTAATTTCTCCAGCATCTATTCAAATATTTGCCTATTATTTAAGACGACTTATAGGAGACTTAATAAATGAAAAAGAAGAAAATGCCATAGGTCTTGCTCAGATATCTCAGCACACAAAACCAAGAACTACATTTTTCCCTGTCAATCAGTTGAGACAGAGGTGGTGGTGGGGGGGACTCACTTCATCTTGTTTTCATCACACCAAATTTCAGCTTGCCCCACCTAAAGAGGTGACCTGATTCCTACGTTCTTTGATGTTGGTATCCTGTGGCCACAAGCGGTCAAGGGATACTCGTTCTAACAGTGATCTCATTCTACTTCCGGACCAAGAGGAATAAAAAAAAAAAAGGACAAATGTAACCCTGTTAGGAAGAAGCCTACTATGTAAACAGGTATATCTAAGGGCTTCTTATGTCCAACTCCATTCTATTTCAAAGTCTTTGAGGGGAACTGGGGGTCTCCATCTTATCCTAAGATAATTTCCTCTTTGTCTCACCAAGAAAATTACCAGGTTCTGCTGAAGGACAGGGCTTTCCTTTGTGATCATTTCAAGACAAATCAATGCATATTCTAAAAAAGAAAAAGAAAACTCTCAGGAGAGAGGATTAAATGGGAGGAAATATAAGAATAGATTGAAAATTCCAGTTTCTCTCTGTATAGGACACAGGGGAAAACCAGTTCTAGGTTTTTCCTCAACTCTCTGTAGAATCGTCGAATTATAGGGCCTTACCATATCTTAGCTTTCCCACCTGAAAAAAAAAGGAGACGACAGCAACAAAAAGCTACGTCCCACAGCTTTCAAGTGCAAAATGATTAATAAATTAATTTCACTAACTTCTGCAAAATATAAAGTGCATACAAATGCTATGCAATTATAACACTCATTCTTGAAACAGTCTTACTTCTGTTTGCAATATTGAGCTACAAATACATACGGTTCAAACTGAAAAGTGGCATTTTAAACACCAGTAATTCTTGAGAAGAAGTAAAACAACAATCAGGACAGAACATGACTGGTACTCACTAGGCACGACATTCGCATTTCAGTTGTTTTGCCAAGGCAGTCATTATATGACAGATTACTTTGAAGAAAAAATAACTTCATGAACTCTAAGTATGACTCTCAAGAGGGAAAAAAAACAAAAAATAAAACCCTGATACACAAAACCAGCTGAAATGTCAAGATTCATCTTCTGAAAGCAGATAGAACATGTTAATTTAGTGAAAAGAATGGTCTTTAATGTTTTGGCAAAGTCTTTTCCAGCCCAGAGTAAACATGAAATGAGCGGGCTGGAGCGAAATCGTTTCACAGTGTACAAAGCAGTTCACATGGATGCTGCCACAGCAAAGTAAGCGGACATGTATTTGAGGTCATTTGCATGAGTCAAATTTTGCAATGAGTAACTCACCTGGGAAGATATAAATTATTTATATAATGATTTGCAAAGGAAATGATCTACTAAAGTTGTACCAGCTACATTTAAAAGAAGTAGCTCTACATGGTTTGCTCATTATAGACAAATCTATTCACAGTATGCTCGACTACGTTACATGTAGATTCATATGGCAAAAGAAAATGAATTAACAGAGAACATGGGAAAATATCCCCCACATGTTTTAAAATGCCCTGCAATTTTCACATTCAAAATTTTATGCATCTAAATCTAAAAAAATATTATATGGAATACTCTTAAGTTACACAAACTGATAATAATTTACTGTATTTTTCACTCTAATAGGAGCAAATTACCACATACTTGAACAAAGTTAAAATAGTTACTATTTCTTTATAATAAATTTGATGTATAATTTACTTTACTTGTGCTTTTTGCACCAATTTATAAATACAGTATATGCAATACACAACCAAGACAGACACCAACATTAATAGTTAAATTCAAAATAGCAAATACTTACCATACAAAATAAACAGCAAATACATCTCTTATGAAAACCAGAGCCCCCCTGGACTTGGGGGCCAGATTCTCTGGAAACCATGTCAAGTTTGAGCACTGTGGCATCTCAGGCCAGCTGCGAGATTTTTTTCTCAAGTTGGCATAAGGTTCAGGAGAACCAAAACTGGACAGAGTCATTTTTGCCAAATCTGGCAAATAACTGGAACAATTCCACTGTGGTTCGTTCCGGCCTTTAGAATTTACATGTTGTACCTTCACAAAGACTCTGGTCAATGATCTCGCCACTGAAAACAAATTTCGTAGTACAGCTACTTCTAACAGGCTTCCACGTACCTTAGGGTGGCTCTCACAGAAGCCTTGGTTTAAGTTCTTGGTCTAAGAAGTTTAAGTACTAAGCAACAATCTGTTTCAGCACCTTTTGACCACAACAAAAGCAAAGAAAACTCCTACATAAATAAGAACAAAGTTCATAAAGTGCTTAAGAAATTACAAACATTTCAAATTAGAGCGATGCAAATAAATGTCCATTTTGCCACCAAAGGTGAATGCAGAATAAATGGGTCGCTTTCCTGTCAAGATCTGACATGCCTTTCAAATCAGTAGTTTGGTCCGGCACAGTGTGCAAAAACAAAAACCCCAAAACAACAAAAAAAAAACCCCGAAAAAAAACAAAAAGCAAAACTTCATCATTAGTGAATACATAAATATTTTAAATCCACCATAATCCATTCTTTCTATAACTACGAGATTCAATAAAAGCACCAATTTCAAAAGGTCTGCTACCAAACTCTTCCTGGCGTAGGCCCACATGATCCACATTTTTAAACCTACTTTCAAACTGAATGAAACAAAACCAAACCACACCTTTTCCTTTACATTTTGTTTAAACGCCTTTGTATGAAATGTAGCGTAGAATATAGGAAAACGCCAAAGAAATGAAAGAACAAAGGGGCATTTCTAAAGATGACTAATGCATTAAATGTGATTTTCTAATTTTTCAGTGCAAACAAAAAACTTCATGTCTTTGTCCTCTTCCAGACTCAGAAGTGTGAAGGATGCCCGTAGGGCGTCACTCCTTGCTGTGGCTGGTTACCTAATGAGAAAAAGAAAATCCAATAAAATTGCAGACGCAAAATTATGCCACAGATCGGTGGCACGCTCTTGTCACTGTTCCTCTATTCCTGAGGCTGGTACTGAAAGCAGACTCACTGGTCAGGAAGTATAACACTAGCCCAGACACCTGTGCGGCCAAGGTCTTAATACCACTGCTCGATTCATCCTGCAGAGGGGCCACCTCTACATCAGAGTCCCACAACGGCCAGCAAGAGCCCTTGGGATGAGGGTCATTGGCCCGTCAAAAGTCTGTATCCCTGAGCTAAGAAACATCTCAATGCTATCATGAAAAAGGACGGTAAGTATCATAAAACATGAAAAGTTCTGGAAACTTCATAAAAGCACATCAGAGATTCTACTTTAACACTGACGTTATAATAGGTGAGAGAGAAGCAACTTGAAAGGGGCAATTTCCTGCAAATGGCCATGGATCGATACGTCAGAGAGAACCGTGCAAGAGTGTATGCATGGGAGAGAGAGGCTGTGTGTGTGACGCGAGTGTGTGCCTGTGCACATGTGTCTATGTGCACACCTGGACAAATAAAGAACAGTGAGTAGGTTCAAAAAAAAGACACAGGCTTAGAAATAGCTACTGCTTGCACAACTCTGGTGGGACTATTCAAATCCAAAGGCCCCATTCACATGGATTATGGCATAAATGCAGCCAGCTGGAGCTGTGCAGTGGGCAGCTCAGCTTAGTTGCCCTTATTCAACAAAGGGGGCCGGCATCACTGCTCATGTCAGGCATCAGAATATATGTTGTGGTTAAGAGGTGGGCTCTGGAAGGAGACAGTCAGAGTTTTAGTCCCAGCTGCTAGCCGAGTAACCTTGGGCAAAAGGGAAAATGTCCCCGTTCTTTAGTTGTTTCCTCGTCTGTAATACGGGAATAGCAATAATACCTCATCGCATGAGGTGGTTTAGGAATCAAGTGAATTAATACATGTAAAGTCATGGGTCCATGGGTGGACCCATGGTCCAAGAAAGTGCTCCAGAAATGATGGCAAAAAATTCACTGGTCCAAGAAAGTGCTCCAGAAATGATGGCAACCCCCCCCCCCTCAAACAACAACAACAACAACAACAACAACAAAAACAAAACTGCATTCTGTGAGCCCTTGGAAATAGGAACCAAGAGTATACTCCCCAGATAGGTGCTACTCCATAAAAATCATAGGTACATACCTCCAATCACTAGAAAAAAAAATTAAAATATAACATGTTGTCTCTACCTTAAAATTATATTCTCTCTTTAGCCATGCAAAAATATGGACTCTGGGGGCTTCCCTGGTGGCACAGTGGTTAAGAATCCGCCTGACAGTGCAGGGGACACGGGTTCGAGCCCCGGTCCGGGAAGATCCCACGTGCACCACAACTACTGAAGCCTGCACGCCTAGAGCCCGTGCACCACAACGAAGAGTAGCCCCCGCTCGCCGCAGCTAGAGAAAGCCCGCGTGCAGCAGTGAAGACCCAGTGCAGCCAAATATTAAAAAGAATTAAAAATGTGAACTCTGGAGCTGATGAGACAGTGAAATTTTAACCACACGTGTGTTTAACAGACCACACCGACTGAACAGTTCTTGGAAAAGACTGACGTGACTTAACTGAGGGAAATATTTTTAAAGGAAAACAACAATAAGAACAACAACAACAGACCTTGGTTATGCCCTCGGAGAGACACAGGGTATAAGAGAGGTGTTCCCTCTGCCCAGGAAAACACACAGACAGCAGCCAGGCAGGAAGTTAAGACAAGAGTCAAGCTTCCCCTCCCTCTCAGTCATAAACTGACCCTTTTCCCGACAATATCCAACCAGAGCCACACCACTGCCTTCAGAACTCGCTGCTCGTCGCTCTGTACCTCAGAAGCACAGAATCGAGAAATTGCTAGTCTCCCTGCTTCCTGTATGGATGAAAAACTGCATGATCCAGACAATGGTGATAGAGTTGGCAGCAGAATTTAGGTCTTCTGACTTCCAGGCCAATATTCTTTGCATCACAGGGGCCTCGCTCCCATTTCTAAAAGAGTTTGCCCATCCCGTGACTCCAGCACAGGGCGACTGGATTCATGGGAGCAGGCTGCTGGTCCGATGAAATGGGTTGTCGGCATGCGCCCTAGAAACGTAGCATGCCAGCACAGCAGCAAGATTAACTGGGGAGAAACACTGTCCTGCGATGCCGCCTGCCACGTTACAGGTCTGGATTTCTCTTAGTCGCTATCAGGAAGGGCAGGGTGGTGCCGTGGTAAGAGCAGCCATGGCCCTAGTGACCAGGGGGTAGGTCTGGTGCTGGCCTCTCCATATCTGAGTCTTGGGGGCAGGGTGGGGGCACCTATCCTGTTCCATCGTACACTGGAGGGTATCAGCCGAGTTGCTCTCTGGGACATCTGGCTTTATAAGAAAAGCACCTGCCGTTCCACAGGGACCCCAGCTGGAAAGAAACATTCCCAGATTCAAAGAGAAGCAACAGGAAAACATCCTCGCTGAACTCAAGGAAAAGACTGGGGCTCTTCCGGAAAAGAAGCATTCAAACCAACACCAACAAAATGAGAACGGCCTGGACTTAAAACGAACAGGAAAACGGCACCAAGGAAGACAGTTTTTGAGGAGCTGCCACCTGTGTTTTGCTCACTGGCTTGTATTTCACGTCCTGGGAGCCATCTGTTCTGACGGAGGGTACTTACTGGAAAGCTGCTTCTGGAGCTGCCGCACCAGAGCGGCCGTCTGCTGCTGTTGCTGGGTCTGCTGCAAGCCTTGCCTGGGAAACTGCAATCCAGAGAAAGGAGGGAACTCAGCGCTCAGCACAGACGAGAGCAGAAGGTCTGCAGCGCGCTTTGAAGCCCTGCGCAGGACCACGCCCAGTGCGCCAACACAGATCTCCAGCCAACCCTGGTCGACACCTGGGCGTTACCTGAAAGTGCCCCATCCATTCCAAAACCTGTCTCCGGGGGGTGACCTAGCCTTTGCTGGGAGAGCCCTGAGGAAGGAGCCCAGCCGTGCCCAATGGTTCACATATCCTTGTTACCTCAGCCTTCACCAGTTGGCTAGTTAGTATCACCATGTTACAAACCACTTGCATCAGCAAACTGAAAGCTGTCTGGTGGGAGGATTGGGTCAAGCACCATAGGCCTGGCCTTGGGCGGATGGAGACAAGGGCGTGGTAAGCAGCACAGGGGACTGGACTCGTCTGGGACTCATCCTGCCTGATGGAGGATGGAGGTCGGGCGGCGGGG